TTATTTACCTGGGTATCTGGATGGTTGCAATCAAGGCATGCATCCTCTGTTGTGTCCGGACACTTTATTCATGATCCGAAGAATAATTGATACATCCCTTCGAGCGTCATGCCGAAGAAGTGCTGAACAGTTCGCGGTCCTTCCGGGTTGAACTCCCACATACAAAGGGGTCGACGTTGGCATGGCAGGACCCGACGAACTAGCATTACTTGGATTACTTTGACAAGGCCGATGTCCTTCTTGATGAGATCCTAGATGCGGCTTTGCAATGTCTGCACGTCATCGACTGATCCCTAGTCCAGCCCCTTGTTGACCCATGATGCAAGCTGTGGCGGAGGAGCAGAGTGGAAGGCTGGGGCGTCCGCCCACTTTCTACCTCGGGGTGCTGTGATATAAAACCACTCCCGTTGCCATAGGTCACAAACTTCCGGGAAGGTACCCTTTGGCCATAAAAAATCGGCACCTTTGCTTATTATAGCACCTCCGCACTCCACGTGTCGCCCGTCGATCATCTTCGACTTCACATTGAAAGTCTTGAGCCATAAGCCGAAGTGTGGGGTAATGCGGAGGAAGGCCTCACACACAACGATGAACGTTGAGATGTGGAGGAAGGAATCTGGAGCTAGATCATGAAAATCTAGCCCGTAATAAAACATGAGCCCTCTAACAAACGGATGAAGACCGAAGCCTAGCCCTCGGAAGAAGTGGGAGACAAATACGACACTCTCGTTGGGTTTGGGAGTAGGGATAACCTGCCCTTGAGCAGGAAGCCTGTGAAGGATTTCGGCGGTCAAGTACCTAGCCTCCCTAAGCTTCTTGATGTACTCCTCTGTGACAGAAGAGGCCATCCACCAGCCTTGAAGGTTGGATTTGGACATGGTTGAAGGTCTGAAGCGCTTGGACTGAATCTTTGTGTTGGAACTCGAGGTAGGGAAAGGGAAGGATCAAGTGTGGAAAGAAAAGGACTGGTCTTGGCCTCTTTATAAAGGGGATGAATGTCAAGCGCCCTCCGCGCGGCCGTTTGGGACTTGCCTAATCCAAGGAGTCATACTAATGGAGCAATTGGGTTACCCACGCCTGTATTGATGAGAATCCCATGATAAGGGGACACAATCTCTGCTTCGACAAGACGTGCCAATGAAACCGCCTCGCGAAACACGTAGTGGCAGGTTGAGAAAACGGTTCGAGTAATGACCGGGCCACGGCGTGACGCTGTGAAAAAATTGTCAGCAGATTAGATTCGTGGAATATTGTACTCTCTACGGTGGTATGTGGAATTTGTTTTGCAGAGCCGGACACGATTCTTGTGTTCAAAGTCTACTTTGAAGTATTCGGAGAAGGAATCCGCCTTGCAATGCCGAAGACAATCTGCACGCCGGACTCATCGTCATTGAAGCCTGGTTCATGGGCTACTGAGGGAGTCCTGGATTAGGGGGTCCTCGGACAGCCGGACTATGTGCTTATGTCGGACTGTTGGGCTATGAAGATGCAAGATAGAAGACTTCGTCCCGTGTCCGGGTGGGACTCTCCTTTGTGTGGAAGGCAAGCTTGGCAATTCGGATATGTAGATTCCCTTCTCTGTAACCGACTCTGTGTAACCCTAGCCCCCTCCGGTGTCTATATAAACTGGAGGGTTTAGTCCGTAGGACAACAACAATCATAATCATAGGCTAGCTTCTAGGGTTCAGCCTCTACGATCTTCTAGTAGATCAACTCTTGTAATACTCATATCATCAAGATCAATCAAGCAGGAAGTAGGGTATTACCTCCATAGAGAGGGCCCGAACCTGGGTAAACATCCTGTCACCCGCCTCCTGTTACCATTAGCCTTAGACGCACAGTTCGGGACCCCCTACCCGAGACTGCCGGTTTTGACACCGACAGAGGGAGGGGGAGAGAGGCAGCCCTAGGCGCGCCCAAGTAGGAGGAGTCCTACTTGGTCTCCTAGTAGGATTCGCCCCCCGCTTTCCTTTTACCGAAAGGGGGAGAAGGGAAGAGAGAGGGGAGAAGGAAAGAGGGGGGCGCCGCCCCTCCTCCTAATCCTATTCGGCCTCCTTCCTTGGGGGGGAGCGCCACCCCTTTGTGGGCTGGTGTGCTCCCTCCTATGGCCCATATGGCCC